TTTTTTTCCTTCGGAGCGTGTTTGGAAAATGTCTCCGTGTGTTATATGCGCGTGTGTGTATGTGTTTGTATTTTTAAGGGTATTTCCTATATTACTGTATTTCTTGTTTTCAGTGTCATGGCTGGAGAGCAAAGGAAATGTCTATACCACAGTGAATACTCTGCAGTTCAGAAAGGATGTTTGTGTTTTTTTGTAAGAAAAAAGTTAAATTAACCTTGACTGTGCTTCTAAATGTGTATGTGAGCCTTTTGCTGTTAAAAATAAATGAGCTTGTGAGATGGTGGAGGGTCTCCGGGGAGGTCTACAAGTATCAGGAATGGCCAGTACTGCTTATATTCTCTTTTGCTAATAACAATAGCATAGAAATAATAATGAACGCTGTGACACTGGGTTTTCTAAAGCTTGTTCTCCAGACACCTGGGGATGGTAGGGTGCTCTGTGATGGCTTGGCATTTGACTTGCCTCATTAACTTCCTGCGTCTTAAGGGATCAGATTTTGCTGGCTTAGACTTGAGATCACGCTAGAATCTGATACAGGGGGACATTAGTGGTGTTGAGTAGCCGTCTGCCCACCGTTCCTCCCACGGAAGTGGCCCTCTATGCCAGCAGAACCCACTCTTTAAATATTTCTTTTTTTTTTTTTCCTCCCAGCCCTGGCCTTTGCTGACAACTTTGCTGATATTTGTTTGAGATGAATGCAGGAATGGCTGCTCTGCCAACAATCACAAGTTCAACCATAATTTGCTGCTAAATTATGTTAGTAACAAATGCTCAGTGCTCGTTGACAGCGTTTTGAATGTTTAATGTTTCAATTGCCAGACTTCAGATTCTTTTGTCAGTGGCCTTAAAGCTTCCTTTGTTTGCGAGAGCACCAGTTTTAACAATGCTCTCTGAAGAACGGAGATCTCCGTTCTGCTCGTGTTCTCTGTAGCTGCCCCTATGATAGCCTGTGTCACTGGAAGCTTGGACTGATTCAATGGAGGGTCAGTGGAGGATAGTCTCATAGCTGGAAGTTCTGGTCACAGTGCTATTCCACAGAAATAACCATTGCTGAGCATGAAGAAGCTGGCAGTGATGAGTGGGACCTACGTGTGGGACGTTCTGGCTATGGTGTGCCGGGTAAATGCAGATGGCAGAATAGTCTTACTTGGTCATCCTTCCCAAGGGCCTCTTAGGAGATCACTGCCATCTGGATTAAGTGCTGAGGTAGCGCTTGGTTGCTGTCTTCTTCAGGAACTCTGTAGCAGAGAAAGGAGTAACTGGCACAGCTGCACGGGTGCAGGTTGCAAATATTTGTTCAGGGACAATTTAAATTTAGGCATTATTAATTTGGACTAAGGGGCTATAATCCTTTTTGTCTCCTGTTAAATAGGGAATATTGTAAAGTATTAGAACTGTGCAAAACACTTGTCAAATACATGGAAAGAAACAAAGCAAGTGGTAGATACAGTTTTCCTATAAAAAAAGGTTTGTTAATTCCTCACAAGGGATAATTGTACTTGGCTGTCTACCAGTAAGCTTCCCTCATATGTAGATGAGTTGTTTGTGAATCGTTTGGGTTATCAAGTAATCTCTGTAGGTAAGGAAGGGTATAAAGTATCTTAGGGTTTTGAAGTAAGAGTTGCTTTAGTACTTAGGCTTGGTTCTCGAGCTCTTCTTCATAAATCCCCCAACTGCTCTGTTTTAGGGAGATTCTAGTCAGTTCATGTGTATAATGTTATTGAAAGTGGCTCATGCTAGTTAGAAATCATAAAAAAAAAAATAGGGTTTTAGCTGTTCTAATGGTAGAATCAAAGTAATTTATGTAAGGAACATAATGCATATGTTTTGGGTTGTATTTGTATGCTGTATAATGTAGCCTCTTGTCTATTCCTTGTTCCAGTCTGACTTCTTATACTGCTTTAGCATAAGAGGAGGCTTTTCATAGGCTTCCCCCCACCCCTTGCCACGTTAAATAAACATAAAAATTACATGTATGTATAGTACTGCAGCTTGATGGTTAACTTTGTATTTATGACTATTAACTTTGTATTTATGACTATTAAAGTTATGTTCAGGATTTCCAATTTTCCTGGACCACCAATGTGGCGACATGCTCTCTTTAATAATGCAAGACATCTGACGCTTCTGTTATGTGATTTGACCTTTAGGAGTGGAGCATGTCTCCCTCCTTTAGCAGGAGGGTGTAAAAGACATGAGAATTCATCTTATCCCACGTCATGGATATAATGTGTAAATCGGTGAACTTTATAACCTGAACCTTAAAACTCTAGAGCAGGCTTCACTGGAGAGAGGGGCACATAGGATGTCTCTAGTTAGGCTAAACAAAATCTAGTCTATGCTTCTTTAGGAGTGGAGCATGTCTCCCTCCTTTAGCAGGAGGGTGTAAAAGACATGAGAATTCATCTTATCCCACGTCATGGATATAATGTGTAAATCGGTGAACTTTATAACCTGAACCTTAAAACTCTAGAGCAGGCTTCACTGGAGAGAGGGGCACATAGGATGTCTCTAGTTAGGCTAAACAAAATCTAGTCTATGCTTTAAGTACATTTAATATTGCTGCTTAACAGAACTGAAGACGCGTTTGCTCATGTAAATGCTTTGAAGAGCCCTAGTAGATCAGTGTAGAGTAGGTACTGCTTAAATAACTTGTGCAGTGCCTTTAAATTGCAAACACAGGTACAATATAACACTTAAACTATACTTATTGTAAAAATTAGTTTCCAGCAGAAGATAGTGTGAAAGTTTAGATGTACTACCTGTGCTGGAAAACATGTGAATGTGTTAGTGAATAACCCTAGCTTTTAAAATATCATTAAATCTTTTACAAGTATCTAACCGTGCATCTTTCTTAATTAATAGGAGGAGAGTACATTGAACAGACTAAGGTAGACAGAACTACTTTTATACTTACTGTAAAAGCAAGGGACAGTGATTGTCACATAACGTTTGATGGAGCATATTTATGTGACGTGCCAGGTGGATGCCAACTTTTTTCTATGCTGTCACTTAATATGTGATTCTACAGTGTCGCTTAGTGAAATGTAATCACATGCACAGACCAAGAAGGTGTTTAAAAAAAAAACCCCAGACAAACAAAAACCCAAACAACCAAACCTAATACTAGAACCAGCTCTGAAACAATGAATTTTAACTGCACAGAACTCTTACAGATTTTTTTGAAGTTGTATCATCTTAAAATGAGTATTTACTTCAGAAGAAATCTTGGATAATAATACAGTATTTTAATAAGTGTTGTTTATTTGTGATGTAGATGTGGATTTGGTTTACAACTAGATGAAAGATGTTAAGCTGTTAATTTCAATTTACCATGGAATTTAAACATTTTGAGACAAGAAATTAATTTGCTGATGGTTGAGTTGAATAAACTATCTTGAAACCTCTCTCACTAACGTTAATAAAACTACTTCTGCCTTCTTGTCGAGGTGCTGAACCATGGAGTCTAATTTTAGACGCTCGGAATTGAAAAATTTGCCTAAGCAAAGAGCATTCTGTAAAATTAATTCTCATATGCCAATAGGTTTGTATGAGACTTCTGTTTTTAAGGTACTCTTAAGTTCATTGCATTTCTTGGCAGAATACAATTAACTGTTTATTTTTATCCAACTGTTTCAAACATTGAGTGTCTTAAATCTGTTTTTTAGTGAGACTTAGACTAAAATGTTACTGCTTAGTGTTCTAATAAGTATGGAGTCTAATTTTAGACGCTCGGAATTGAAAAATTTGCTTAAGCAAAGAGCATTCTGTAAAATTAATTCTCATATGCCAATAGGTTTGTATGAGACTTCTGTTTTTAAGGTACTCTTAAGTTCATTGCATTTCTTGGCAGAATACAATTAACTGTTTATTTTTATCCAACTGTTTCAAACATTGAGTGTCTTAAATCTGTTTTTTAGTGAGACTTAGGCTAAAATGTTACTGCTTAGTGTTCTAATAAGTATCCAACTTTTAACTAAAAATGTGCAGTTTTTTAACACAGGATCAGAATTGTCTTCTTACAGGTCCAGTGTGAATTTACGTGTCAAGGTGAATTTGCAAGCTAAATGCACAATGATTTTTTTTCCCCGTTATACTTACTCAGAAACTCAAAGTGCTAAAAATATTCTTTAAAAGTTGAGCAGAAAGCATTAATATTGGGAACATCAGATTTTTGTCATTTGCTGTTTTGATGGATAACAATTTAATTTATAGCTAGTGTTCTTGGAAGACTACTAGTCTTCTTAAATTGGATGTCAGTGATTTGTTTCATTTTGTTTTTTTAATTCCTAAAAGCAATCTGAACCAAATTTATAATTAAAGCAAAGTAACAAATACAAGCAATAAAGCTAACTCTTACCACTTGATTTGTCAGCAATTTGTTAGCCCTGTATTACATCCCTGGAAAGTTTCCCCCAACTTCCTTTCTGGAAACTTTCTTCTCATATACATAACCACAGAATTTTGTGTTCTGTGATATCTCATAGTTAATGTATATTCATATTTTTTTTTTTAAGATGGTATCACAAAAATCCAGGCCTGATTAACTTGAGTGTTAAACTAACCCCATTGTATTGCCTGAGTTAGTGTCTCCGCTGTTTGGCATACGTGGGATGTAATGTTCTTGTTTCTATTGAGCGAAACACGGCTTGATTTTAAGTATTTGTGGGCAAAAGCAGTGGTTAGCATGTATTTAAAGAAAGAGTTTGAAAAGAAAGAAAGCTTTTTCTTATACTGGCACTGTTGCTCAGCAGGATTTTTCTCTGTGCTTGCAGGTTTTGACTGAACTGGGTTTGACAATGTCAGGCTTTGGCAGCGCAAGTGACTTGAGTTTCTGTTAGCTCTGCTGCAGCAGCCTGGCGTGGATGTGAGAATGGTGCCAATCTTTGCTTAAGGCAGAGCTGGTGGAGTTTTGAGCGATTGCATTAGTAATGGTATCTCTCAGTTGAGAGCACAATAACAACATTGTCTTTTTGCCTTTGTTGCTGTTACTTGTGTAGTGTTCAGGAGGAGGAAGACAGACCTGTGGATGGAGGGACAAAAAGCAAACTAGAAAAAGATGCTGGGAGGAAACAGGAAATGTAGATTAAAGCAAGAGAAAAAGAATCTGAGCTGGGGAGTTTAGCTTGAAGAAATCTAGTCATTGGGTAGAAGCTGTAGTAAGAATAGGTTAAAGTGAGGGAGGAGTTGGAGGGAAAGAAAACTGCAACAGAGGGGCCCAGGATTGAGAGATGAAGGGTAGGGGCAAGGGTGAGCAAGTTTGGGGAAGCAGTTCAGCATTAGCATTTAAAAAAAGTCTAATGTTTTCATAAATTTGTATAGAAAGGGTCAGAGCGAGTTTGCATGTGCAGTTACAAACATTGGTCTCCCCTAAAGCTCAATTATTTGACTTTGCATGCTGAACGTTATTTTGAGATGAGCTTACACAGCCTGAAGTTGTATGGCAGTACCAAAATGAGCGCGTGGCTGCTCCAAAAAGGTGGCTCCTGGGTTTAAAACTGACTGACTTATGGTTGTAATGTTAAAAGTGATTGTATGATGACAGATTTCCTGAATACTGACTAAATACTTCTTGCTTCTTCTTTTAGACGGGGCTTGAATCCACCCCACAGGGTGAAGTCAATTTCAATGACTACTTTCACACAACAGGAAATAGAATTTCTGCAGAAACATGGAAATGAAGTAAGTATTATTTGGAGAATATCAAGTGTATTTAGCACTTTAATATTAAACTTTAAAACACTACTTAAGGGAAACTTGATATCCCCCCCCCCAGCAAAAAGTAGACAGAAGTCTTTTGAAGCCAACATCATTTGAAGTGATGCTTCTAAAGAGCTCTTTTCACTTAGGTAGCTGATCATCGTGTTATTGCCCAACCCAGACAATCTAGATTCACGTGATCAGTGTTTCTGAATTGGGTTTTCTTTTGCTTTTGCGTAAGGCAATATGCATCTCTCTTCTTTTTTCTTGCAAGCCCAGATCTTGAGACTGACTGCAGCAGTGTTTCCTGAAAGAGCATATCGTGACAAAAATGAATTTGTTGCTTGTAGCTGCGTTTCTTCAGAGTAGGTGTCAGAAAGTCTTCTAGTAGTTTCAGTTGCCTCTTTCTTTAGTGAAAGTATATCAATGTTGAAGTTTCTTGAAGAGAGGAAGGAAAGGGAGAATTTTTTTCCTCTAAGGATTGTTATCTAATAAGTGTCTGTATGTTTAGAGTGCCTTGGGGTAGCTTTGAAGACAAAAAGTTCTAGTGTACTGCCTTTTTGTTCTTTTTAATAGATGAAAACTATCTGAACAACAGTTCAGTTGAAAACAACTGAGGCAAATGTTGGATGGGCTCTGTGGGGGCACTCAGCATGTAAACCCTGGTTGTGGCTATTGCTGTCTTCAATTTGAGGATGAAGTTTGTATTTTAATACCATACTATAGCATTGAGGATTTTAGAGGCAGCTTTTGCTTCTGTTCTGAAATAGAAAAAGTTCCATTTCACTTTGATTGGATCTGTATGCTGTTTTAGTAGAACTATTGATTGTAGGCTACAGAGCATCTTATCAACATGTTCTTGTGAAGCTTTGTGGGGATAAATCCCATTATTAGCTAAAATGCTGATACTTAACTTTCTTAAACTTGGCCCATTCATAACTGTCAGGTTGAAGAATGAAAATGGAAGTAGCAATTTCTTTTTCTGTCCTGGTAAATATGTGTTATTTGTTGAAATGACTGTTAGTGGATGATTCCTCTAGACAGAGCTGGAGCAAGGCCTAAACTCTTCCAGACATTACAAAATACTCTTAATGGCTTTGACTAGTTTTTTTTTAAATTGTTTTGGCATGTTAAAGCTGTATAACATTGCGTATATATGTATATACATATACGTGTGTATATATCGTAGAATCATAGAATAGTTTGGGTTGGAAGGGACCTCTAAAGGTCATCTAGTCCAACCCTCCTGCCGTGGGCAGGGACATCTTCAACTAGATCAGATACATATATGTGTGTATATATGTATATACATGTATGTGTGTATATATGTATAGCATATTGCTGACTTTTTGCATAGGCAGAATAATAAAGAATCTTTCGTGGGTTCAGATACAGTGTGTTGGAGTCTCTTTCCATAAGATTAGATTGTAAACTCCAGCTTTGCTTTAATCTTCACAGTTGTAAAGGAAAATGTGCGTGTGTGTGTGTCCCTCCCTCCCCGCATCTTTTAATTTAAGTTTTTCACTGAATCTGCAACGGCTGGAGAATGCTACTAGTTTCATTTTTCACTAATCTGAAACCTTAAGTGATCCCTGCTCAGTTGATTAGTGTAGTTGTCCTTCTCGTTAGAGACCTGACTAGTCTCCCAATCATAATGATTTAGTTGAGACAATTTATTATTGACATAAAAAAAAGTTCACACATCTCTGCAATGCTATACCGTGTTTCACAAGCAGGGGTCTTTGTGTTTGTAGTACTTACTCCTCTAAAGTATTGCAATGATTTACATGAGCTACCTCAAAATGAAGATGTGCTCCTGAGTTTAGTTTTGGGTTGTTGGATAGCAGTGCATTAGAATTACTTAATTCCAAAGTAACACTGAATAGATACTTGTAATTGCAGATGGTAGATTTAACAGGTGCTCAAAAACTGAAGTGATATTGTTTTAAACGCTGTTAGAAGTTTAAAACTTAATTAAACATGTTTTCACTTTGTCATGCTGTATGTTGCAGTAGTTAAATAAGCATTTTGCTTTCTCTTGTTGGTATTGGACTTTGTCTTATCTGCAGGTGAGTATTCCAAAGTGTTGGGCAGATGAAGTTCATCTGACCTCACAAAAAACCTTCTTTGCTTAGCTTGCTCTTCAGCATAGGTGGCTCTTGTGTATATATTAAGAAATGAAATTTTCTAGGATAAACTTGTTCAAACATGGAACTGTCCAACATTTTAGAATGTGGACATGTGAAACAAAGTACAGTTACTGAATGGTTTGGATATGGTAACATTCAGTTGTTTTAGTTCTGCAGCTATTTATATTAAAAAACCCTCAACTTTTTGCAATCTGGTATGTTTAACTTACATTTTTCTGAAGCTTGTAAAATACTTCATTCTCACTTTGCCCTCCCAGTCTTTCTCTGACATGGCCAAGGCCTCTGTGGCAAGCTTTCTTGCTTCCAAATGAGTAGATCACGGTGTACAATAGGGAACTTGTTCTGAATAGAAAGGAAAATAGCAAGAAAGCTTCCCTGAGATAAGGTAGTTATTAAGGTGGTGAGTTGTTGTTAGAGGAAGTAGTTTTCCACTCTCCTTCAAAGAGTATTTTTAAGGTCAATGTATTGCATGAGGTTGAGGTTCTCTTAAAAAAAAAAAAAAAAAAAAAAAAAAAAATTCCTAATCTCTGAAATAGTAACTTTTCCCCAAAGATGGTCACAAATGGCCATCTTTGTGGCACACTTGGGTAAAACACTCAGTTACTTAAAGGCTTCCACAAAACGGCTGCTTTTGGAAGAGAGCTTCTCTTCAGGTGTGAGACACCATCTCCTTCCCTGTATATACACCTCCAAGGAATGTCTTTCTGGCACAGGTAACTTGAACTTTTTTTTGATGAGTTTTTACTGCTTCAAATACAGATTTAAATCTTCTTACTGTATTAGAAGGCATCTATATTTTGGTGTTGCTTACTCATCTCCAGGTATAAACAGATGTCCAGACCCTGGTTTTGCTAATGTTGGGGTTAGCTCACTTTTGCAGCAAGAATGGAGACATCTTCAAGCTGATATTCCTCAAGTGCCTTCTGAAGTCCTTTTGAGGGATAAAGGCAATTCTGACTCACTGGGTAGGATTTTCCCCCTCCTCGTTCTCTTTGTGAAGAGCAGCATGAGGTATTTTCACACTGTATTTTCATGTTAGGAATAACGAGGAGAGAGTGGTATGGAGATGGTTCTGTTTGAATACTCATAATCAAATGATGCTAATGTTGATTAGGCCTCTGATTCAGTAGTGCAATGATAGTAGAAAGTGAACTTGCTGTAGAAAGTGGAGGTGGTACTCATCTCATGTTGCCTTTATAGCTGTGAATATTTATTCAGAAGCTTTCCCCAGAAGCTGAAAAATAGTATTATGAGGCAAGCCAGTTACGTAGTTAATTTTTCTACTACACTTTTGAAAAGTGCCATATGTTTTATATCTTTTCCAAGTAGCCTATTCTAATATGCCTATGGTGGAAGAAAATGATTTGGATGGTCTTGTGTTTGGAAAATCTGTGTTCATCTGGGGACAAAGATCATGTTTACCTGAGCTAATGAGTAGAATGCCATGCGGGTATGCTCAACTGTTTGGGATTAGTTTATCAGTGCTTAATTTTGTTTTTGTGCCAGTCTTCCTGACTCTTGATAGCACCTGTGCAAGTGTTTCTTACCAGTTTTCTGCACTCTGGATTCCAGGAGAACCTACAATTGCAGAACTAGTAGCAGTATGGGGCTGGTTTTTGGCCTGACCACAATGCTTTCCTAGCATCTCCTTTACTGTGGAATGTGGCCTAGAAACCCCGGAGTGGAAAGAGCAGTACTAAGCTGGAGCTGATGAGTCCTGACAGCATGAGCTGTGCAGTCAGGTGTCCTTGTAGTACATCCCTGGTTCTGCTAATACGATATAGAGATACATGAGCTGATTGTGTATAGAACAATGTCTTTGTTAGCAGGATTTACTAGCTTGGACTGTGTGCTTATGAAAGCAGCTATAGCTTCTGGACCCAAACTGGCTTTGAAATCAGTATACTGGCAGTATAAAATTCTTTTAACCTACATAGATTAATGAATAATATTCACATCAGAAGTGCTGAATTACTAAACAAAGCTATAACATGCTTACATAAGGGAACTGTTTCCAAATCTTTCTTCCTGTGGCGAGTGTTATGTTTTGGAACATAGTTTTGTTGTGTGGTAATCTGTAGTTCTTTGCGCTGTCAGCATTACGTTTGGTGCATAACTGAGGATATTTTATTGGGGGGGAAGGGGAGAAGAAGAAATCTAGTTTGGCATTTGCCAGACTCCTGAAAGGTAATACCTCGTTAGAGCTTTTTAAACTGGACTGACGTGTGTAATCTTCCTATGCAATGGTATGTCTGGGTCTAAACAAGAAGCGCTCTATTGCTGTAGGTCTTAGTAGTGTGCTTTTCTAGTTGAAGTGCAGCTTCTACCAGCAGAAGTACTTGTCCTATTACAGCTTTTTCTTGCCGTGCTGCCTTCGCTGCATACAAGAGAAGGCGGCTTCCTGAGCAAAAACTTAATTTTACTGGCCTAACTGTATTTTTATTATTCCTAACTAGCACAACTATGCTAACAGGAGTTTCTAAAGTGTGGTGGCTCAATGTGTTGTGTAAGCAGAAGGCCTTTGTCTCTCCCATATCCGCCTTCCCACACATACTGGAGATCTGTATCAGTGAAATAGTTATGACATGGTAAACTGTTGTTTGGTAGTTGAAATATGTAGCACTGGAATAGAAGTAACTGAAATCTCAGATTTTCTGAGGCTTTCTGCAAAATTTGATGGATACTGCCGAGTTTTTTGTTTGTTTTTTTTTTTCTCTTTATTAGAGGTTTTTTAGTGTGCTTGTCCTTCCCCACCTTCCCAATTCTATAAAAACACACACAAAAACCCCCAAAACATGACAACAAACCTAGAAGCAAAACCAAAAGCTAAAC